GTGGCCGGGGAAGAATGCCACGGCAGCGTCGGGGCCTGCGCTCCCACGGCTCGGCGGTGGGCAGCCCCGGAGCAGTCTGCTTCGCCTCCTGTCTTTGTACCAGACAAAAGGGATCTGCGTGTAATTTCAGGCCGGACACGTGCTCTGCCTGTGCTGGGCTCCTCCGCAGCCTCGCTCCTCTGCCTGGCTGTCGAGAGGTGGCCGTGCCCTGCGGCTCCCCGGGGGGGAGGGCCTTGCAGAGGGCAGGTGGGGGGACAGAGTCCCCCGGCTGCACGGGCTGCTCCAGCAATGCTCCTTTCCGTGGGCTGGGAGAGCAGCTGCTTGCAGGCGTGTTGCACGTGGGCTCCTGCTGCCTGTGTCGCTGGGAGGTCCTGAGTGCAGAGCGGGCTCTGCCTCGGTCGCTCACATCTGCGCCCCGTGTCTTTCAGATCCCCCAGGTCCTGGTTAAACTCAAGAAGTATCCCCAAGGGGAGAAGGTGAGTCTCGGGGGCCGTCGATGGGAGCTGTGTGCCACGTTGTGTGCGTAAGTGAGCTGTGTTTGTCACGACGGTGCTGGTGCCTGGCCAAATTGTGCAGGGGTGGCCAGGGTGGGAAACGGTCGGTGGCCCAACAGCCTTCTTCTGGTGTTCAAGGCGGCGTGGGAGGGGAAGGTGGGCTGGCGTGGGCAGCGCTCCGAGCTGAGTGCTTGGCTTTGTGTACAGCAGGACTTCACCGAGGATGTGAACTGTGCCTTCGAGTTGCTGCTCAGTCTCTGGTCCCGTTCCTGACCCTGCCACTGCCAGATGAGCGCAGCCGTGAGCGTCTGGCAGCCGGTTCACGCGTTGGTGATGCTGTGTGATATCTGGAGCTGCTTCTGGCCCTGCAGCATCCTCAGAGGGGTGGGAGCAGAGCCAGGAGGGCAACCCGGGAGTCCCCCTGCCCTGCAGCGCTGCCTGGGGCAGCAGCAATGTGGTCCCTCGGGCGAGCGCTCTCCTCTCTCTCTTCCAGCTGCGACTGCACGAGTCAGCTCCTGCAGGAGTGCGGCAAGCAGGGGCTGCTTTCAGAGGCCAACATGAACAACCTGATTGCCAAACGGTACGGCCCCCTCAAAAGTTTGGGTAGCCAGGTGGGGTTGGAGCACCTCGTCTTGCTGTCCTTCTCGGGGGGAGCGCAAAGGACCAGCTGTGGTGCCGCTGGCTGTCCTGCAGCTGGGACGCCGTGGCCTGGAGGGACGAAGCTTTGCTTTCAGTGACAGACAGAGTACAGGCGAAGTCTGTCCTCTCGGAGTGGCAGCTGGCGGTGGCCTTCCCTCGGGGATGCCGAGCTTGGAGGTGGCTGGGAGGTGGCTGAGTGTGGGGAGGAGTGCGGCAGGGTGACGAATTCCTGCTCACCGGCCCTTCTTTGTGGATCCCCCAGGAAGGCGGACAGAGAACACGCTCCGCGCTTGAAGTCGGCGGAGAACGCCAACATCCAGCCAAACCCGGGGCTCATCCTGAGGGCCGAGCCAACTGTCACCAACATACTGAAGGTGAGGCCCCTCCCGCATCCATGCTGGACAGACTGGTCTCAGCCCCACATCCTGTTTCCAGCAGCACCAGTCCCACCAGGCAGCCAGGGTGGTTGGGAGGTGCCTGATCTCCCCCTGTGCTTGGGGTGGAGGAATGGAGGAATTGCTCCCAGCCTTGCCGCTCTGCCGGGGGGACCGGGAGCTCCCCTCCTCCTTCCCAGGGAGCCGGAGGAGCCGCAGGCAGCACGCTGCTGTCAGTGCCAGCAGCCTGAGCCCAGCCAGCCCTGCCTGCCCTGCTCTCGGCCACTCCCCTGCCTGCATCTCCCCCGGTCCCTGGGGACTCCCCCTGTCCCCGTGTCACTCTGGTTGCCTCGCCACTGCTGAGTGTGAGAGGGTGTTTGGGTGTCAGTCGTGCTGCCCTGGTGCGCTGCGGCTCCCCCCTCCCCCCTGCCG